AATGTACAATAGTCCATCCTTATCCTTGAAGGGCGTGAGTCCTGTGTGCAAGCCCTGCTCTACCTCAGCACCTCATCTGACGACCTAGACAGCTACTGTGACTAGGTACTCACTAGTGACTGAGGTATATATGGGGATACATTGGATGAGGGACAGTTTACATCGCAGTAGGACAGAATGCATTTTAATCATGAGATTCAGGGCAACATTCAATTGAAAACTTACAAATTGTTTCTGAAATTTTTTCATTTAATATTTTTGGGGCCATAATTAAGGTGTCCAAAACCTTGGACAGCAAAACCAAGAATGGAAAGCGTTTGGAATTCTGTGCCATGTTGTGCTTACCCATTTATCAGTGGATGTCTATTTGAATGGTTTCTAGTTTGGGAATATTGTAAGGACCTCCATATAAGTGTCTTTCCGTGTACAAATGTCTTTGTTTCTCTTGGGGAGAGTCCTGGAAGTGAAACTTCCGGGTTGTATGATAAATTATATTTACTTTTTAAAGAAACTGCTAAGCTATCTCCCAGGGTGATTGTGCCACTTTACATTTGACCCTTCAGTTTGTGGTTCCAGATTCTCCATGCCCTCTGGATTCTCCACACCCTCCAAATGTCTATTGTTTCAACTTTAAACATAGATGCAGCCATCCTTCCTTCATGTATTTTTGGTTCTCGGTAAGTCCCCTTCTAAGACAGCTACATCACTGCCAGCATTTAATTACCTGTTTTTCATGTTGTCGTCACAAGTGCACATACATACACTGATCCTTCCTCGGCACTTTTATAAAAATGAGTCATGTTTGCTCCTTCAGGAAGCAGTGAGGCCTTCATCTGTGCTTTTGAGAAGGGCAGGTTTCCTCTTGCTTGGATATATCACATCTAGGTGGCAAAAATAAAGGGATTATCTCAGTAAGCAGAAGTGAGTTTGATTGACTGTTTGGGGCCCAAGGTGAGACAGTGAAATGTGCTAGTGAGTTCTACAGTTAGTGTGGAGGATGTGTGATGGTGGGGTCCTGGGTGTGCAATGGCGGGGTCTTGGGTGTGCAACAACAGGGTCATAGGTGTGCAACAACAGGGTCATGGGTGTGCAACAGAAGGGTCATGGGTGTGCAGTGGAGGGGTCATGGGTGTGCAGTGGAGGGGTCATGGGTGAGCA